GCACTCAATGGTGGTTTGGAAAGCAGAGTCACATCACACAAACATAATGTACTGCTGTAACCATGCAGAGGAGGAAGGAAAAGTAGCTAGTAGGACCCCTTTTATGATTTTTCTTATGGTGGCCTTTAATAAATTGTCCCTCATCATTCCTCATCTTTGTTGTTTCTGATGCTCGGTCATAATGAACTGCTTGTAGTTCCCTGACAAATGGGCTTCCTCAGGATTCACATTTACACATGATATACCCTTTAGCCTCTTCTCTAGTTGAAGTAGTTCTACTTGTCCTTCATGATAATTTCTTGATAATGTCACCTTTTCCAAAACTCTCCTCTGTTTTCTAGTGAGATTTACAATCTTCTCCTCCTAAGCTAACACAATATTGATTTCTTGCCTCTATTTGTACTTGTTACTCTATAATAATGTCCTACTTATATTTTCTCTCACTCTCGCTCTACTCTGAACCCATGGAAACAAAGTTTTATCTATAATACTGTCATTTGTGCCTAACATAGCACTTGGTATACAGAAGATGCTTGATAATAACTGCCTGAATAACAGTAAATATATGTTTACTTGCAGTTGAAATATAAGCATAATTCATTCTAGCTTCCTTATACAAATTTTGAAATGATAGAGGAAATCATATCTATGTATATGAAAACTATTGTTGAATGTATTTACTCAATGTCAAGTACTACAAAGCTACCAAATCTAAATTAACCTTGGGCAGTTTCTTTGTCTAAACAATAGATATAGTAATACATCTTTATGTATTCATTCCTGAAATAATTATTAAGGTACTTCTATGACCCAGGCAATATCTAGGTGCTAGTGATAGAATGGTGGTAGATAAAAGTTTTATAAAACCTGACATGATATAGTCCCTGTACCTCTAGATCATGCATTTTAAAAAGTTTTGACTTTATCCTTAGAGCAATGAGAAACTATTAATAAAACAATGGATTAGAATTGCATTTTTTAAAATTACTCAATATGGAGACTGGATTAGTATATATAGATTTGAAGTGGGAAGACCAGTTACAAGGCTGTGAGTGATAATTCAGGTAAGAGATGATGGTGATCTTGACCTAAGAAGTGGTAGAGAGGATGAAAGAAATGAAGAGATTTGAGAGATCAGAGAGGTGTAGGATTGACAACTATTAGAGCTTGATGATGGGGCCAAAGAAAGGAAGGAATCATAGAAGATATTCAAGTTTCTGTCTTGGGCTGCTGGTGAAGAATAGATTCAGTCATTGGAAGAAGCAGGGATGGTGGGGTGATAATCCATTTTCTTTAGGACTCATAAAATTGCTTTGAAGATTAAGTGAAATAGTTTATATAATAGCAACTACCACAGTGCCTAGTGCATTATAGCTTTTTTCTGTAGTCATTTCTATTTCCTTCTTCTCTTTTCCAAATGTGCACCAGTAATTTAGTAGCAAACGTGGGAATAGAATCCCAGGCTTCCATTTACTAGTCTAGAGTTGGGTCTTTTTTTTTTTTTTTTTAATGGACTGCTGATCTATAAACAAAAATGAAACATGGAGATTTTAAAGCAAATATTCACAACTTATGCTGGATTGCTTACAAGTTGACAGCTATCCAACTTATTTTTAGTTTATATTTAAAATGAATCATATGTTCCAAATGACTGACAGAAACACAGCTTTGTTTCTGAAGCCAATTCTTTTCCTTCGTTTTTGGACATCATTCAGAGCTGTAACAGACTTTCAGGGTGTTTAAAAGCATTCATCCACGACAACAACAAATGCTAATTATCATAAAAAATAAACAGCTCCTGTTAACATCATTCTAAGAATTTCTCCCACTCCAGCACTATATTTCATCTATCATCCCATCTGTTTGGGGGGTAGGAGCAAAGACTGGATGGAAGTATAATTATCATGTATCAAACTGGACAATACAATGAAATACAAATGAATATAAATGGAAGGAAGAGCATACATAATAAATAAATCTGGAAAGAGAAAAAAGAAACATAAATAAAATGGCACACTGTGTTCTGCAGTAAATAGCAGATACATTAAGTCCACAATGGAGTCAGTAATGTTTATCTTGTTGAGTATGAGATGGGTTTTCTTCCCATATCAGTCTATAGTCCTCATTATAATCAAATTTCCTCCCACATGATCAAATAGTCACGTTGTTCACATGGAAGTTTAAAAATTCTCTCTGTTCAATTCTACCATTAAAATTCTACCTGGAGACTTTTAAACATATCCAAAAAGACAAGGAAAATTGACTTCTATGTGTTTATGAATACATTTCGAAAGAAATCTGCCTCTGTTAGAGTCACTTTATCCTATAAAAAATATGAACAGCTTAGTTCTCAAAAGTGTTTTAAAGTAAAAGGACTACAAGTGGTCAATTACAAATGCAATTAGCTCATTACAAATGATATTAAAAACATGAACAATCATGTGCCCCTAAATAGAAACTAAAAACTCAACAAGGACTGGGACTTTGTTTATTTTACTGGCATACACTCACACCTGTAACTGTTCCTGGAATGTAGCAGGTGCTTAATCGATAGTTTTTAAATCACAGATTGCATAAAAAGAAGCAATTATAAGCTTTTATCCTCAGAGGATTTTTAAGCTATACCTAGTCTATGAATAATTCTGTAGTGATTCTCAGCACCAACATCTAAATAATCAAGGACCTTTGGAACCTCCAAGTATCTATGTCATCTTCAAAGTGAGAAGAGTGACATTTTCTTTTAAATAGTAACAAAGTATTTTTTTAATCAATTTAGTATAAGGTCAAGCCTCCATTAAAAATATACACATCCAATTAACTAATTATATATGTTTATCTATTTAAATTTGCCTCAATGATATGTTTATAACATTATTAAAGCAAAAGATCAATTACATATGAAGCTTTTCTTTAACAAACTGTGATATGATCTCAATCACAAATCCCATTATCTCTTTATTCAAATACTCAAGAACCACATATATGAAATAAAGATGTCATACACACACAAACACACACAACCAAATAGTGAAGAAAGGTGGTACAGTCAGCCCTCTGTATGCACAGGTTCTGCATCCCTGGATTCAGTCAAATGTGGATCCGAAAATATTTGAAAAAAAACATTATATTGTTGCTGATGTGTGCTATACAGTTAGGCGTAGGATAGCTGTACTGAATATGTATAACTTTTTTTCTTGTCATTATTCCCCAAACAATAGAGTATAACAACTACATGGCATTTAAATTGTATTAGATATTGTAAGTAATCTAAAGATGATTTAAAATATACAGGAGGATATGCCTAGGTTATATGCAAATACTATGCTATTTTATGTAAGGGACCTGAGCATCTGCAATTTTCGTGTCCTCAGGAAACATAAACCCTCAGAAACAAATCACCTGGGGATACTGAGTGATAACTGTATATCCATAAAATTTTGAATATTTGTGAATTTTCTTTCTTCTATGAGGAATTTTAAGATAACAAGGAGCAAATACAAAATACAACATGTACAATATCCACATATATATTTATATGTGTGTATAAATATGTATATAATGTGTATGTGCATATATATATAAAAGTATTTGATATTTGGGCAACATTCACCTGAATTATTTCAGAGGGAATAAAGAAGTAAATAATCCATGGATTCATAATGCATGTGTATTTATATTTCTGTATATGACCATCTATAAACATATGTGGACCAATTTATACCTGATGGTGCCCTGGACCATCACATTATACAACTTAGAGAAATCATTCACATAGAAAGTTAAAATTATTTGAAATATTTCACTTTTTTTAAACAGAAAAGCAAAATTATTTTATTAACATGCATTCAGACTCACTCTTTCTTATCTCAATGAAAATGTTAAATTTTTTTTCATTGTTTTTCCAACCCTGTAATCTCTGTTCTCTGTTCTCTTGGGAGAATTTCTATCTGCCAATTTCCATATGGTCAATTTTATTGTCAAATGGACTAATTTCTGCACATAGTTCTAAATATTGAATGAATGAACAAACTGTGCTCTTGTCATACTTTAAGAGAATTTAAATTCAAATGAATTTCAATTTTGATGTAAATGTCAAGGTATAGTGAAACACCTTAGAATAAAATATTTTAAAATTCTAATTTAAAGAGCACTGTTTAGTCATTGGTAAATATCTTAATGTGAAACTCCTTATCACTATATAATAACCAAACTAACATGCACTCCCTTCAACAATATAACTGCAAAAAAAACCTAATACTTTATTTTTACTACTTTCTTATACTTATCTATGAGACTTGTTTTTAATTGATAGCTCAAGATAAACATTCATATACAATAACAACATATATTTAAACAGGAAAGCACAGACAACCTCTAGCCAGAAAATATTCATTGAAGACACTAAAATAAATACGACTTTGTAAGCTCTATTTTCCAAGTCCCTAAACTGTATTTGCATAGAAATAGTTCCCAAAACTCAAGTATTTCAGTGAGTATAATGTTTGAAATTTGAAAAAAACACTTTTTCAAATGTAAACTTGTTAAACAAATAAAGGTTATTACTTTTCATAAACATTCGTTGCATCTAAAGAGCTAGAAAAATGTTAAGGCAAATTCTCAATTTCTTGATAAGTTTCACTGACAACCAATTATGAAAGTTTAAGTTGGGAAACTATCCTGAACTCAGCAGACAAATTCTTTTAATAAATATTTCAATATTATATTTCACACTATCTCTATTCTTTATCGAATTTTATAGTGATCCTTCATCAAAAAAAAAGTGCTTCTTTTAAAAATACAGAGAAAAAATATGATTTAGCTTTTTTTTGTTTGTCTGGATGTGTGAAATTAGTGTTGATATTTGATTCCAAATGTTTTTCCAAACTTCAATTTAAAAAAACAAAACAAAACAAAAAGACCACACAGTAAGAATCTCAAATAAGTTTTAGAAAATTATTTACATTTAAAACACAGCCCCAAAGGCTACTGATTTTTCTTACCAGTGCTGTCATCATATACGACTGTGACGGTTTTCCATTTGAAGAACTGCACCAAGTCCAAAATGGCACGGCTGAGTGAAGAGAAGTCTGGATAGAGACTGACATAGAAGGAATCTTTGTTGTCTGACACCTGGTGCTTCCAGCGGGTCTGTATGTGGGGAACCCCTAGAGCATTGCAGATGGACTGCACAGCGTTTGCTGAAGAGCTGTGTGAAGGCCCGAAGATGGCAGCCACCCCAAGAGACAGCTGATCACAGGCTGAAGAGGAGATAGAAGTCTGTCAATAATGAGAGGAGTGATGCCAGTGTGCTAACACTACATTATTATTGGAAATCCAAAGGTATTATCTTGATATATTTTTCTTTAATACAACACCTACTTTTTGCTAATTTTATATTTTGTCTAACTCTAAACATTTTCAGTTTGTTAGAAGGGAATGAATTCATCCAGACACCTGCCATTCAACATTCAAATAACTTTACAAATAATGTCAAGGGAGGGAGAGAGGTTAGAACAGAGAGGAGGAATACTTTGGAATTTAAGACGTTCATTCTGAAAGAATGGTTCATGTCAGGGAGTTGGAGGAATAGCGTTCCTTCCAAACTTCACTGGCGAGTCCCTACAATTTCAATTTCTTAATCAGAAGCCCTTTGGTTCCTTCTTCCCATCCAGAAAGCTTTCACCACACATAATTATTTGCATATGTCTGGTGATAGAAGTCAAGCTGTGCATACAATCACCCATACAAAACCTAATATGGCTCAAAAAGGATGATTTCATATGGATTAACCCCATTGAGCATAAAGAACATCAAAGTCATTAGGTAAGAATTTAATCACCTTTATTAGATCTTTTATATTGGCCTAAATTGTTTTTTAAAGTTGTATTTATTCCTAGGAAATTTTATTCATATCAATAATAATTGCAATAATCAAGAGAGGCATAAACATACTAGAAGGTATTCAGATGAGAATAGATATACTGTGACAGAACTATGAGATACACTGAAGTGAGTTTGGGCCTAGAAAGTGAACAATTACGGGAAACATGAATATTGTCTTTAAATATTTGAAGATATGGCTTGTGAAAGAGGCTTAAGTTTGCTTCATTTGGCTGGAAAAGGAAGAATTAGTACAAATGGTTAGAAACTTCTCATGAATTTTGATGTAATTTAAATTCAAGAATTAAATTTAAAGAGAAATCAGTAATATCCAAAAAAGAAATAATCTGCTTCTAGAGGGAAGATTTTGCCCATCACTATAACTATTTAAACAGAGCTAAAGAGAATTGTTGTTGGAATTTAGGCATCAGTTGGCTGTTCAGACCCAACTCTTCCAAAATAGTTTATAATTCTAAAACATAAAATTTTCTGATGTTTTCTTTCAGGAAATTTGCTCCATAATAGGCAATGTGATAGATGGATTCTTAAGCATAGAGATATTTAATAATTAAGTAAATTTTAGTTTAAAAAAAAAACCCGCTGTTTAAATTTTCTTCTAAAATTTAATATAATCTAAATAAATTATTTTTTGTATAGTCTTACTTTTAAAATAATGATTAAAATTCTAAATCAGTAGAAAGGCTAGAACCTAAAATTTTTCACTTACTTGAATCTTAATTCACAAACTCAGAATAAAAAAATTTCCTTTGTCAAATTTTTGACAAATCACAAATCAAGGAATGCTAAAAACATTATATTGAAAGTATAAAGAAAGTTTATACTTAAAATTTAGAAAGTTCCTAATTGTGTTTCAAATAAGTTTTCAGTAATAAGAGGGGTCATTTAAAAGCAACATATGATTCAAATAAGAGAAAGAGGCCCATAAGGTTAAAAATACTATATTAGATCTCTTCTTTATATTATCCTTTTACATATTGCTGTGCAAGAACTTCATAATATCAAAACCATGACATTCACTCTTTCAACATCTCACAAAGAAAGTTACTCATATACTCATTTGAGCTTTTCCTAGCTTCTGCTCAAAGTCAGTAATCTAATTTGATTCTCAATGGATGACAATGTTTGTAAATTCATTTTAATATTTTTGAAAACTAAATAAGTTTAATACCTCATAGTAACCTGTTTGTTGTTAGAACATTCTAGTCTGTTTTTTATTTTTTATTTTTCATGTTGCGCCTTTGAAGTCAGCATTGAGAAATCTATTAATATTTTATTTTTACTGCACTCATATTTCATATTCTTTGGTCTAAATGATCTCAATTGAGACAGAGCTTCTTCTTCCTAATGGAAATAATCATGAACTATGTCACTAATCAAATGCACTTGTCTTGCAGTTAATGACGTATTTTGCAATTAGGATGACAAATATAGTATTTCGCAATAACCTTTACCCTTTTATTCAGCCTTTAGAACCTTTCATCACCCTGACATGGTTCTGAAATATGGAAACTTATTTGTATTCATAAAGATATGAATTCAAAGGGCAGGCAGAATATAGGCTTTGATAAACACTAGTTAGCTGGGGGAAAAGAAGGATTCTTTCATCTCAAGAAATATTGTACCTTATCAGTGTCCATTAATATTAATGAGGTTAGAAGAAATCTGCACCAAGTTAGAGTTATAAATAATTATGTACATTTCTATTAATGTAAGGTAGCTAATAAAATAATATTAGCATTACAGAAAGCAAATATTGTTTTAAAAATAGAAACTTGGAACAAATGCTTTGTAAGTCCTCTCCTTTGAGAAAATCTGTATTATGAAATTGAATTCTTGTTACATAAATGCTAACTACACACACAAAAAAAATCACGTACTTTGATAAAGTAAGACTGTAGAAGCATTTCTCAAAATACATTTACTACTAAGATTATTGTTGGGTTAAAATAATACCTTGATAATAGTTTTTCTATTACCTTCCTTCCTGTATAAATGTTAAATTCACATTCCACAAAATTATTTTCTTATTCTTATAATTTAAAACACAGTTTTACAACATAATTAATGATATAACAAAATTAATAAAGTATTATAATTATTACTTCATAGAATATAATTTTTATAACATTATTCACTTATTTTCAGTTACGAAAAGAAACATCAAGGGGTTAAAGATATGGGCATGGAGTATACATAAATTAAAGGTTGTTCAAAATTTTCCAATAATGTTTTAAGATTGAGCTGACTTTTTTGAAGTCGCTTGGAACTACAGAACTTCCAAGGTAGTCAGTAAATTGAGACCACAGTAATACTATAGTAGAATTGACAGATAATGCAAATAAATTATAAGAATGGGTTGCAAAACTTGGTATAAATCCATTGACACATATTGTTTTATTTTAGGTGAGTTCTTAAAAATAGAAATAATTTATTAACAAAACAGCATTGTGGAGAAAGAGAAACAATTTCACTATCTCAGATCTAATTGCACTTCCTGCTATAAGCAATTTTTTTTGCAATGGGTGATCATGTCACTTACCTTTCCCAATAAAATTTATGTGCATTTTAGAAAGAAATTTTTCATAAAAATATTCCTAACAACTTATTAATTATACTTGGAATTAAGAAATCTCTTAAGAATACATAGACAATTGAATTCCCCAAAACATAATGTTAAATATCTGTCAATTACCTTTCTTGGATGCTTCAAAACTGTCGTAGAGGTTTATCTTCTGGGTGTCATATGTTAGGGTGGTATTGGGCAACAAGGTTCTGTTTCTGTTGATAGTGTTCACAGCAAATCTGAACGCAAGTTCCTCAGCTCCCATTGGACCAGATTCCACATATTCAAAAATACCACCTGGCAAAAGGAAAAAATAATCACAGTTATTACAAAATATAGAAAATGTTGAAACTTTTCTATACTTTTATGTGTGTGTTGTGTCTTTATGTGTGTGCATGTGTGTATGTGTGTGTGTATGATCAGTTTAAGCACATGGACTTGTGCTTACTTTTTGTATGAACATGAATATTCAGTATGTGCCCTTTTAGAGAAATCCACACTGGCAAAATTATTGTGGCATTGCAGCCCAAATTAACATAATTTAAATATAATTTTGTCTTTTATCTTTAGTAACTACTTCTTTTAAGGCCTAGGCATATATAGATCTTGCCTTAAGAAATAAACATTATTCCTCAAAATAGGACAATAAATCCTCTATACTGATATAATACTATACAGTTAGGCATTGTAAAAATTATATTAAATTGTCTCCATTAATTCAGAAAGCAGAATTTTTTAAGAACAATATTATAGCACTTATTATGTTAGAAGGCCAAAATACTTATTCATTTGCAAATTCCAGCATCTTACTTGCAAGAGAATGAAGTAGCATTTCTCTATTTGTTTTACTCTGTTTTTTTTTTGTCGTTGTTTTTTGCAGAAGTTACTTGACATTTGTGAAAGTTAACTTTCCCAAACAGTGCAAATCCCTTAATCAGTGAATAACTGTAGCATATAATTTTGGCCATAAAATGTAGAGTATAATTTGAAAACACGACCTTTCCATTAGTCATCTTCTACCTGCTATGTCTCAGTCCAGTTTCCTCGTTCTTGTCCCAGCCTTTTCTCTTTTTGACATCATCTCTCTCTCTCTTCAGTAATGAATGACCTAACTAAGACCTTTGCCTCCAGCAGAATCTCTTCCTTGTTGTTATTCTGGTGAATGGAATGAAAGGGGAAGCACCTGATACCTGACACTCTCCAACCCCTGTCCTTGGGAAACTAGTACTTTATAAAAAGAGAGCATTTATCTTTCTCTCTTTCAAATTTCACACCATGTACTCTCAGTACAGTCATTCACAAATTAAATTCCCTTGAATAAGCCATTTGTACAGCTTGCAATTCATATCTCATCAAAAGTCTTTGACACATGAAAGTCAGATGAGTATACTATAAGCAAACTACCTATTATAAATTAGTAGAAGTCATAATATGATAACAATTCTAAATATAATGTATTAAGACTCAAGAAAATACCATAGTAATCAGATGAATTTATATTCAGGAAGAATTGAAAAATTTTGTTATTTTACACTATATTAGTTTGTAATATTTCTCTTATTCTTTCAGCTAAATTGATGATATAGTTACCAGAGTAATCAACTTGTTGTGAAATAGTACTCTGAATATATTTAAAATCATTGGTGACTTAGCTAAGCAACAAGGATAATAAATAAGTATTTATATGCCTAGTGGATGTCATGAACCAAATTAGAAGTCTTGTACATGTGGAGAATAGTGGTATGAGCATGGACAATGGAGCCAAACTGGGTTTACATTCTGTCTCTGCCGTTTGTCATTGTGCACATTTGGGCAGTTGCTTAAATCTTATTTCAATGTCATCCTCTCTAAAAAAATGATGATAATGGAAGCTATTGCATACAGTTATAAAAATTAAATGTTATCTCATCATGAAACACTGCAACAGTGGCGGCCATAGGGTAAGCCCTCAATAAGTGTTTAAGAGTTCACTGTCTCTTCAAACAATTTCAAGTAGTATTCTTTTACAGGAAGGAATCCTTTGGTCAAAAGTCATATACAGCTATAAAGTGATAGAGCCAGCATTGGAATCTGTTGGTGCCTGACTTCAAAGTTCTTGCTTATTCCACTACAAAGTAGTAGTTTTCTTCAATATTTCATTCAGGCAAAAATACTGAGATTCCTAAAATTTTAGATATGATGACCTTAATAATAATATGTAAGTATAAATGTAAGATCATATATAAACAGGAAAATAATTGAGCAATTGAAAAGTCATTCTTAAAATTAATTGGAAGTAAAAAATCAATTCTAGAAATCCAAATCTGAAGTTGTTCCTTAATGGCAAAATAAAATGAAAAACTGAACTTTCTACTTCCCTAAGTTCATATTATAGTTTCTATGCAGTATAAATACAAAATAAGGATAAAAGATAGTTAATATATAATGATAGTAAGTTAAAATTTTTCTATACTTTACTTGTCTTCAAAATAAATAATTCGAATTCAACTTTAAGTTTACATATTTGTCACTGGTTCGAATATTTAAAGAAATTTTTGTAATTGTTTAGGAAACCCAAATTCTACCTTAATTAAATAACATGAAAAATTAATCTCTATTGATCTAAAGTCAGAATTTAAAAATTTTGTCTATAAAAATAAAAATATCCAGATAATGCAAGCTTTCCATGCATGACACCTCCCAATCTTATTAACTCAAGGAAAAAGAGATCACTACCCCTGATGTATGCAGGACAGGTATGTGCAGAGAGGGTAAAAAAAATCTATTAAGAAGTACTTCCTGGGAGTGGCTCCATAGTGTAGTGGTTAGCACATCTGCTTTACATGGAGAAGGTCCTGGGTTCGTGCCCCAAGTGGAGCCATGGACCATATCAGGGTGCACTGGGGCGCCCCTCCTCCCCGCCCAAGGTGTGCCAGCCCAGGGCGCTTGTGGGAGGAGATGCTTGGCCTCAGAGATCCAGTTCTTAAAAGGAGACAGCAACATCCATTAGGTCACTGGTAGAAGGGAGAGGGGGGAATTAAAGAGGGCAAAAAAATAAAGAAAGAAAGAATTACTTTCCAAAAAAAGTTAGGTGGGTGCCTCAAACTTATAGGAAAAAAACGAAATATTTTGTTATTCTATTTAAAAATCTGTAAGGTTTTTAATAATATTAACATATTAATTTTAATCAAAGAAGAATAAAAGTACTATAATCAAGTAGATATTATAAAGACTCTTAATAGAGCTCACTATTTATTCTTGACTTAAAAATGACTTTTAGAAAATAAATAATAAAGAATAATACTTGATTAAGATAAATCACATATTAATAGTAAACATGTTTAAGAGTAAAATAGAAAAGAAGTCCCATTAAATTCAGGAAAAAGATAAGAATGTCTATAATAATCACTCTTCTTTAATATTATTCTGTAGATTTAATAAATGCAATTAGAAATTAAAATTATTTATTTAAATATATATAAATAGATTCATTTTTATTTAATCGCATCTAGAAAAGAGACAACTATCTTTTGCCAACGGTGTTCGACCATAACAATAAAAATAATAAAATTGAGAGAATATATCACAAACACACTTCTATTAGAACAAATGCTAAATAAATGAGTTTTTTAGGCAGAAGAAAAATGATCTCAGAGGCAACCATTGCATTACTAAATGTATAAAGTATAAAAGAAAGGGTAAATATGTGGGTAAATATCAATAATTTTTGGCTAAAAGAGCATGAATAGTAACATCTTTTAAAGTTTATAATGTATGTAGAATTAAAGTGCATAGTAACAATAATGCAAAAGTCAAGAAATATATAAACTGAATTAAAGGATGTGAGTATTCTAGCAATATTTGGAGAAAAGTAAAGGTAATAATTATTTTGGACTATAATAATTTAAGAATATATATTAATGTCTAGAGTAAATAGTAAACTAATATTAAAGTAGTACTGGATCAAAATTTAATAGAGAAAAAGTGACTAAATATTTTTGTACAAAAAGTTAAGAAAAGATAAGTAAAAGAACAGAAACAGAAAAAAACACTCAAAATACACTAAGATGTTACAAGTGGTAGGTATAAAACAATACATCAGTAATTACATTAATGATATATAGAATAAATTCATATTTTATTGTTTATTGAACAGGCTAAAAAGGCTCAAAACTCTAAGCTACTTACAAGAGAAATAGTAAGAAATAAGAAAGTAGGGCAAAGATCTGTCCTAAAACCACACTAAACAAAAGCTGGTGAAGCTATTCTAATATTAGATAAAGTAGACTTGAAGACAATAAAAAAAATAGAGATAAAGAATACGATTCATAATGAGAAAGGGGACAATACATCAGGATGATATCATAATTCAGAATCTATATATACTCAGGGAAGAAAATGCTAGACATTGACAAACTAGGAGAAATAGATCACAGTGGGAAATTAACACATCACTCTCAGTACAGGTAGAACAAGCAGACAAAAATATCGGTTAAGATTTAGAAAACCTAAATTACACATTTAATATATTTGACCTAATTAACATAGATGAAACATGGAACCTCAAAATGACAAAATAACTTTTTTCTTTTCAATTATGTATTTACCAAAATTGATCATAAGATGGGCCATACCAAACTTCGACACATTTAAAAGTATTAAAATTATTCAGAGTATGTTATCCGAACACAGTGATATTAAGCTAGAATTCAATAACAAAAAGATAACTTGAAATGTCTCAAATTGAAAAATTAAATAATACATGCCTAATTAGTCCATGGGTCAAGGAAAAAATCCGGATGAGAATTATAAAACTTTGGGAACTGGATAAAACTAAAATTTTGGCATTGAAATCTTGTAGGCTGCAGCTAAGCCATGCTTAGGAGAAATTTAAAATACTGAAAATCGATGATCTAAGATTCCATCTCAAATGTCTAGAAAAAGACAGAAAAGCAAATCTAAAGAAATTAAAAGAATAAAATAGACTATAGCAGAAATAGAGGACAGAAATTATATATCATAGAAACAGAAAAATAAAGCTAAAGCTTGGTTATTTGAAAGATTATTAAAATAAATGAAACTTAAGCAAAACTAATCAAGAATAAGAAAACAGTGGGGGGAGGTGGTGGCAGGGAGGGTACATGATATACTTCTGGGGTGTTGAAGATATTCTGTTTCTTAATTTAGGGGCTTGGATATATACTACGAGAGCTTTATTCCATGGTTTACACACTTTGGCATACATAGATCATAGATCATCTTTTAATAAAATTTTATTTATTTGTTTGTTTATTTATTTTTTAGTTTTGGCATCTTTA